GCGGTGGCGGTGCGAGGCGAGGTGGTGGCCGAGGCAGCCGTGGGACGGGGGCAGGCACTGAGGGCGCCTCGGGTGCCGAGTCGCATGGTGTGGACAGGGCTTGTGAGGGTTGTGACCAGCACGTGGCAGGCTGTCATGGCGGGGAGACCCCAGGGGCCGGCTCGCTGGGAGGCAGAGGCGGAAATGCTGCTCCTCAGGGCCTTGCCACAGAGATGGGGAGACGGACGCGTCTCGCGTCATCGGGCCTGTGCTGGGGTTGCCCCCACCTTCGCCGTGCCCCAGCCCCTGCTCTTGCTGCCTCTGCCTTGGCGCTGGCCACACCCTCCCCCATACTCCGCGGGGCCCCTCTGCAGTTCTGAGTCTTTCTGCAGATGCCACTGTTTGAGTGAGGCCCACCCCGCCCCCGCCCTTCCTGGTGGCCCCCACCTGCTCTGGGCAAGTCTCAGCACACTGCACAGTTACCCATTGGTCTCAGTGATTGTCAGTCCCCCCAGCCGGATTGGCGACCCTTGAGGGCAGCCCGGCAGTGCTCAGGACGCGTGCCCTGCTGGGGTGGGTGCGAGCCGAGGCACGCTGACCAGCACCGGGACAGCACTGGGTTCCTGCTGCGTGTCGGATCTCGTCCCTGGAAAATATGTTTAGGTCCCGCCCTTGGTACCTGGAAATGGGACCTCACTGGGAAATAGTGTCTTCACAGGGGTATTAGTTAAAATGGGGTCATGCTAGAGTAGGGTGGCCATGATCCAGTGACAGACGTCCTGATAAGAAGAGGGAGCTCCATACACAGACACAGAGAGAGACCATGTGACTGTGGAGGCAGAGGTTGGGGGACGTGGCCACCAGCCCAGGGACGCCCAGAATCCCCAGAAGCTGGCAGAGGCAGGAAGGACCCTCCTCTGGCGCCTCAGGAGGGATCAGGGCCGTGTGACACCGAGCTCTCTGGCCTCCCGGTGGTGAGGGAGCAGTTGTTGGCATGTGGCCATCTGGTGCTTGGCCCCGGGGAGCTCACACGCTCCAGGTGCCAGAACCTTCCCTGCAGATGGGCGTTAGCAGGGCATGGGCTCTGCCCCGTGACAGCCTGAAGAAACGGCCACAAGCACTGCTCAGAGTTCACTGTCCTAGAGACTGGAGGTCGGGGGTCCCACATGGCCTCATGAAGTGAACCCAGGAGGGGTGGGGCCGAGCCGTCCCGAGGCCCCAGGAGAACCGTCCCGGCCTCTGCCAGCTTCCAGAGGCCCCTGCCCCCTTGTCACAGCTGGTGGCGCAGCCTTGTCCATCTCTCTGTGACCCTCCCACCTCCCCCTTATGAGGACCCTGTGAGGATGCTGGGCCCGGGAACCTAGGGTCGTCCCCTCTCAGGGGCCTTAACTGGGTCCCGCCGGCACAGTCTGCTGCCACGAGAGCGCGTGGCGCAGGCCCTGGGCCGTCGCTTAGGGCACCACGGCACTGTGTTCCCGCAGGGAAGGAGAACAACTTCCCGCCGCTGCCCAGCTTCGTGCCCCTGAAGCCCTGCTTCTACCAGGACTTCTCCGACGAGATCCCCATCGAGCACCAGGTCCTGGTGAAGCGGATCTACCGGCTGTGGCTCTGTGAGTGGCGGGTGGGCGCGCGGGGGGCCTCCCGCACCCTACAGAGGCCCAGGCTGCAAAGCTGCCCCGTCTTCGGGCTGTGGGACCCGAGGTGGTGACAGATATCCCCTCTGATGGAGTTGGTCTCAGGGGGCGGTGTGGTGTGCTGGACGAGCAGGTGGGGCTGGCTGGGTGGGGAGCTCTGTCCCCTGGAGCTCCCTCTGGCCGTGGTCCCTGTGCAGAGGGCGGGCGAGTCCCGAGGCCCAGCTCAGCCCCCTCGCTCTCCCTCTCCAGTCTACTGCGCCACCCTGGCAGTCAACCTCGTCGCCTGCCTTGCCTGGTGGATCGGCGGTGGCTCGGGAGCCAACTTCGGGCTGGCCCTGCTCTGGCTGCTGCTCTTCTCCCCCTGCGGCTACGTGTGCTGGTTCCGGCCCGCCTACAAGGCCTTCCGGTGAGTGCGGCCGCGTCTGGGACGGCGCCGAGTGGGGCGGCAGCACACCGCCAGCTGCGTGTGCCCGCCGTGCCGCCCACTCGGGACCTGTGCCTGTCACCCTCGTCCAGGTGCTGGACACCGTCCCTCTCGTCCAGTGTGGGTGACAGGTCCTGTTAGGTTCTGCGGGCGGCGGCTTGCTGTCGTCCGTTGTGTCGCATGTCTTAGTAACTGTTGGGGTGTGCTTCACCTTCCACACGACTCGCCTAACTCACAGTCCAGTGTTTTTAGAGCCTTCACGAGGTCGTACAGTCATTTCCTCCAGTTCCAGAATATTCCATCACCCGAAAGCAGCCCCATCCCCATCAGCAGTCACCCCACCCCCTCCTCAGCTCCCTGACACCCAGTCACCCATTCCGTCTGTGGACGTGCCTGTTCTGGACATTTCACACACTGTGTGGTCTGTGCGTCGGCGTCTTTCACTGAGCGTTGTGTGTTCGGGGTCCATCCATGTGGTGGCGGGTGTCAGCGCCTCCCCCCTGCCATGGTCAAGTGACACTCCAGTTTGGTCAGCCGCGTTGCGTGGTTCACCTATGTGTAGACGGGCATGTGGGTGGTTTCCCCGTTTGGCTGCTGGGAATCCGCCGCTCTGCACTCACCCCAGCCGGCCCCCCACTACGCAGGCTGAGGCCCCTAAGCCCCCGGCCCCCAGACTGAGTTAGGTCCCCGGAGGGGACAGGAAGCTGAACCCACTCACATCCAATGACGCTAAAGGGAGTTGCTGCTGGAGGTCTGGGCCAGCTGGCAGCCTCACACGAGGCACTGCACGCAGCAGGCCTGGGGACTGCCCAGGAGTGGTCCTGCGTGGCCAGACACTCCCCTGCCCCCTCCCATCCTCCTTCTGTGAACTGCAGGCATCCTGGGGCAGCAGGCAGAGCGGGGGGCATCTCGAATTCACGGGGCCCCATCTTCAGGGGAAGCTCTGGTCATTGAGACAGGCAACCTGTGTGCTAGCTGCAATGACGTCCTCAGGTGCGGGGGGCCCCGTGGGTACAGCGTGTTCTCAGAGGGCAGCGTGCAGCAGCTCGTGCCTAGCCGCGTTGGTCAGTCCCTAGGGACGGGAGCGTGGCCGGGTCACCCTCACGGCCATTTCCTCTCCTCTCCAGGGCTGACAGCTCCTTCAATTTCATGGCGTTTTTCTTCATCTTCGGAGCCCAGTTTGTCCTGACTGTCATCCAGGCCATCGGCTTCTCAGGATGGGGCGCCTGGTAAGTCGTGAGCATGCCCGCTGTGACGCATGGTGACTGCAGGCCCATGACTGAATGCGCATGTCGGCCTGCGCGGGCCCAGTGCTGTAACGCAGACCCCGCTCCTGATGCTGGAGGACAGCGGAGATGGCTTCCTGCTCCACGCACACTGCTGGGAGGCGCCCAGGGCCTGTGCGCGGAGCTTCCCACGCTCCGCTGGCAAGTGTGTGGCCCTCAGCCTGGCCGTCCGGCGGGGCCAGAACATGTGGGCCAGCACTGTCCAGCGAGAGCGCCGCTCTCCCATGTGCTCATTTTTAGGGTGTCGTACAGGGTTTCTGTGGCTGCTATAAGATTTACTCCAAACTTAGCTCCCTAAGATGAAACACACTCCTTGTTTCCAGCTTGGGGCCGGGGTTCTGCACGGGCCTCGTGGGCCACGCCCAGGCAGGGCTGGGCCGGGCTGTCCTGAGGCTCCAGCCGCGTCCCTGGCTCACGGCCCCTTGCCCCTTGTCACAGCCAGCAGCGCAGCCTGGTCTGTGACCCTCCCGCCTCCCTGTCCCTCTGTCCTATGTCCACTGGGAGAAGTGCTGCATTCGTCCTGGGCAATGAGAGCCGCATGCGTCTGGCTCCTCGGCCCGTGTGGGTGACCCGCCTCTCAGCCCCCTCACCCCCCTCACCCCCTTCACCCTTGGTTCCCTTCTCTGCACGGAGGCTCGAGGTCGACGCCAGGCTTTGCCCCCTACGGCTCCCTGAGACGGCCCTTTCTATGTGGCGAGCACTGGGCCCTGGACCGCGGCCGGCGTCGTCTTGGCTGGGTCTGGAGAGCCGGCGAGGTGTTGTCTCAGGGACCCTAGGACCGCCCAGGTGCGGCTTCGTGGGGGGGTACCCCAGGACTCAGCAGCAGTGGCCCCCCCACAGCCGTGGTCGCTGTGGAGACCGGACAGAGCGAGATGCGCCGAGGGAAAGGGCGGGGGGTGGGCTGGGGGCCAGGCACAGCTCCCAGAGTCCTCTCCCAGTGGGCTTCGTTCCCCCCAGATGAGACGTGACACACTGTGAGGTACGGTCCCCAGGGGCCTCACAGAGACCCAGCACCAGGGGTCCCACTGGGCGCCAGTCTTGTGGGCGCCTCTGCCCGGCTCGTCCGAGACCCCAGACCCCAGAGGACAGCGGTGCTCGGCGTGACCCGCCTGTTTGCAGAGCGTTTAGGGCCGGAGCTGTTGGGAGTTGGGGGTGGCAGGAGCCCCAAGACACCAGTTCCAGCCTCTGGGGGGTGCCTAGCCTCAGCCTCTGTGCAAGCTCTTTCCTTTCTGGTGTCCCCACCACCCTGGTTCCTGTGCTAGACTGGTGGGCACAGCCTCCTCGGGGGCTGAACGCTTGGGAACAGGGTGCCGCCAAGGCCGGGACCTCTGGGAAGGGGCTGTCGTGGTGTTCTCCTCTGCGGGGTTGGGAGGCAGCAGTGCAGACGATGGCGCTGTGTGTGCGGGCGGGTCGGGCCTCCCTGCCTTGCCTCCCACTGAGGCCCAGGGCTGCGGGGACAGTGGACACTGGCACCAGGCCTTGTCGCTGCCCCAGAGTCCGGTTTCCTTGGTTGCTCCAGCACTGGGAGCTGCAGGCTCTGCAGAGGGGTGTGGAGGATGGTGTACGCGGCCCCTTGGCTTCTGCGGGTCTTGGGGTGAGCCCAGGCCGCTCTGCCAGCCTGCACTCGCCTGCGCCCCCCTTCCCGCCC